CAGCATCTACCATCATTATACAGTCAGACCTGTGTGACCAGCATCTGTCATCATTATACAGACAGACCTGTCTGACCAGCATCTGTCATCATTATACAGTCAGACCTGTCTCTGACCAGCATCTGTCATCATTATACAGTCAGATCTGTCTGACCAGCATCTGTCATCATTATACAGTCAGATCTGTGTGACCAGCATCTGTCATCATTATACAGTCAGACCGGTGTGACCAGCATCTGTCATCATTATACAGTCAGATCTGTGTGACCAGCATCTGTCATCATTATACAGTCAGATCTGTGTGACCAGCATCTGCCATCATTATACAGTCAGATCTGTCTGACCAGCATCTGCCATCATTATACAGTCAGATCTGTGTGACCAGGCATCTGTCATCATTATAACAGTCAGATCTGTGTGACCAGCATCTGTCATCATTATACAGTCAGATCTGTCTGACCAGCATCTGCCATCATTATACAGTCAGATCTGTGTGACCAGCATCTGTCATCATTATACAGTCAGACCTGTGTGACCAGCATCTGTCATCATTATACAGTCAGATCTGTGTGTGACCAGCATCTGTCATCATTATACAGTCAGACCTGTCTGACCAGCATCTGTCATGAGTATACAATCAGACCTGACTGACCAGCCTCTGCCATCATTATACAGTCAGACCTGTCTGACCAGCATCTGTCATCATTATACAGTCAGATCTGTGTGACCAGCATCTGTCATCATTATACAGTCAGACCTGTGTGACTAGCATCTGTCATGAGTATACAATTCAGACTGACTGACCAGCCTCTGCCATCATTATACAGTCAGATCTGTGTGACCAGCATCTGTCATGAGTATACAATCAGAACCTGACTGACCAGCCTCTGCCATCATTATACAGTCAGATCTGTGTGACCAGCCTCTGTCATCATTATACAGTCAGACCTGTCTGACCAGCATCTGTCATCATTATACAGTCAGACCTGTGTGACTAGCATCTGCCATCATTATACTTATATAATTATGTATTTTAATACTGAAATCCCTTAAACATTCAATAATAATATACACTTCCAAAGTCAAAGCAGGGTAAATCAATTATACTTATAATTTCAAGATTATTTAAAGTTAACCCACTAGAATTCACTAGCCTGCTGGAGCAGAAACTGAGAAGCTTTTGCTGCCAGCTAGCTGTGTAGCAAGCCTAAAGGCCTGGGCCTATATATTCATGCATGCAGTCTGACACTGGCTCTTTTTTAGGTTATTTTGTTATTAAGATCTATAAACAATATCTTTATGTCCGTATACCATACAGATTTTAAACAGAGCTTAGAAAATGATGAAATGCTAAAATAAAGTGTGACAATTAATGGAGGATGAAATATGTATCATTACACATATCATTCTATGCATCTGAAAAAAAAATCTAATTTATAATCAGTTTTTTTTCTTTGAAATGGTGATCTTTAGTAAAATACGAAAAATCCCCTGCTTATTTTTATAAAGATATACTACTGCTCATCCTCGAGTAATTTATTTTCATCACAGAAATTTATTGAAATCTATGCAATTCTTCATTGAGATGTCTAATATGAATAAGTTTATAAGCTATAATTATGTGCTTCATTAGCTGCATTCCCTTTAACAGATAACAGGATAAAGTAAAGTTGCCCCCTTCTGTTGGGGGGGGGGGTTTGAAGGGGGGTGGAGTCCCCCTCATCGCCAATAAAATTTTGGACTTGTGAGAGGCTTAAAATGACCCCAGGCCGATCATAAGGTAACGTGTAACCAATGCTGAAAAGCCTTTGACTCTATCTCAATCCCTTGAGAAGTTGCAGCACTTTGAAATAAATTTTGATGGAAAAAATCGAGGCAAAATAGTGATTTTTGGCAATTTTGAGATGTCCCCTCGTTGCCATGGTAACAGGAAATTTAAGACTGAGCATGTCGTTACAAAGGCAATGGTCCAGTCAACATTTGTGCCAAGTTTGATTAGTATTGAAGCATTTTTCATAGTTTCATAGCTGTTTGAACTTGTAAGAGGAGGCTTTTCAGTGAAAATGGCCATTTTTCACAATATGCTCATGGGGGAAAGGGTTAAGCATTATCATATTTATTTTATAAACAAAGCTGTCAGTCAGACAATTTTATTTGTTTCATTTTACGCCTTTTCTCAACAGTCTGACAAAGGTGACACTCAACTATTCTTCAAAAAGAGGATGGATAATGTAAAAACTGACAAAGAGGAAGATTTCATATTTGAACAACAGCTGTCATAGGAGACAGCGAAGCTCGACTAATAAACTACTGGATGCAGTAATGAAGACAAAACTATGAAAGAGAAATCAATTATGTATAATTATGTTTTAAGTTATAGTAAACAAGAGCTGTCGGTAGGACAGCAACGCTCGACTATTCTTAGTGCTTGATAGTAAAAAAAATGCTTCATACAGTTACCTCCTCCTGTTTACAGGTTGGGGTCATGATGGTGAACAAGTGTGCAAAGTTTCAAAGCCATATGTCAATGGACTTTGAAAATATTTGAACTATTACAAAAACTTTAACATAAATTCTAAGTCGAAAAAGGGGCATAATTCTGTCAAAAATGCTTAATAGAGTTACCTCCTCCTGTCTACAGGCTGGGTCATGATGGTGAACAAGTGTGCAAAGTTTCAAAGCCATATGTCAATGGACTTTGAAAATATTTGAACTATTACAAAAACTTTAACGTAAATTCTAAGTCGAAAAAGGGGCATAATTCTGTCAAAATGCTTGATAGAGTTACCTCCTCCTGTCTACAGGTTGGGGTCATGATGTGTGAACAAGTGCATTAAAAGTTTCAAAGCCATATGTCAATGGACTTTAAAATATTTGAACTATTACAAAAACTTTAACGTAAATTCTAAGTCGAAAAAGGGGCATAATTCTGTCAAAATGCTTGATAGAGTTACCTCCTCCTGTCTACAGGTTGGGGTCAATGATGGTGAAACAAGTGTGCAAAGTTTCAAAGCCATATGTGTCAATGGACTTTGAAAATATTTGAACTATTACAAAAACTTTAAAGGTAAATTCTAAGTCGAAAAAGGGGCATAAATTCTGTCAAAAATGCTTGATAGAGTTACGTCCTCCTGTCTAACAGATTGGGGTCATGATGGTGAACAAGTGTGCAAAGTTTCAAAGCCATATGTCAATGGACTTTGAAAATATTTGAACTATTACAAAAACTTTAACATAAGTGGTTACGCCGACGCCGACGCCGACACTCGGGTGACTACAATAGCTCTACTTATTCTTATGGAATAGTCGAGCTAAAAAGTAAAATTGTTAACATAAATTCCAAGACCAAGGGGAATAATTCTAGAAATAGTCTCTAGAGATTTGAACCTTGTCACACAACATGTGTGTAATGATAAGAAATAATGTTTGAAGTTTAAAGTAGATACCGAAGTTATAATATTTCGTAAAGAAAATCCTAAGTTCAAAGAGAGATAAATCTGTAAATATTGCTTCAAGAGTTATGAAAATGTAAATGATGATAAGGAATAAGTATTTGAAGTTTGAGGTAGATACCTTTAAAACTAAAAAAAGTCATAGTAAAAAATAACATTTTTTCTAGTAAAAAAATCTAACTTTATGGGGAGATAATTATTGTAATATTGGTGCTAGAGTTAAGAACCTTGTCGCATAAGATGTGGATGATGATAAGGTACATATATTTGAAGTATGAAATTCATCCCTTAAGAAATAAAGAAGTAACAGTAAAAAATGGTATTTTTTAAGGAAAATTCTAAGTTCAAAGGGAGATTAATCTGAAAATATTGGTGTTAGAGTTATGAACCTTGTCACATAAGATGTGGATGATGATAAGGTACATATATTTGAAGTATGAAGTTGATCCCTTAAGAAATAAAGAAGTAACCGTAAAGAATAGTATTTTTCTGGAAAATTCTAAGCTCAAGGGGAGATTAACCTGAAAATATTGGTGCTAGAGTTATGAACCTTGTCACATAAGATGTTGATGATGATAAGGTACATATATTTGAAGTATGAAGTTGATCCTTAAAGAAATAAAGAAGTAACCGTAAAAAATAGTATTTTTTAAGGAAATTCTAAGTTCAAGGGGAGATAAATCTGAAAAGATTGGTGCTAGAGTTATGAACCTTGTCACATAAGATGTGGTTGATGATAAGGAACATATAATTGTAATTTGAAGTTGATACCTTAAGAAATGACAAAGTTATAGTGAAAAATATTTTACTGCACCAAAACTTTAATCTGAAATCAGGACCGTCAACGCCGGGGCAAGTAGGACGGCTCTCCATATACTTCGTATATTCAAGCTAAAAATCACATGACAGTTACCAGTCTTTGGAAATTGATCAAATAAGAATTTTAAGTTAAAGAAATTCCATCTTTAATTTAAAAATCCATACCAAGTTATAGGTTTCGAAATGTCGTTTAAAGCTACATTAAATAAATTTCATAAAAAAAAGAAATAGCTCAATTCGTTAAATAAATATGCTTCATATCGACGCCCATTATTTTTTTGGTGTCCAGACAACCAAAACAAGAATTCATAAATTTTGTTTTGTGAACGATGCCTGCTTATATATAGGTTAATTAACTTAATTTTTTTTATTAATTTTGTCACATTCTGTTATTTAGATGAGGAAAAAACATCACTGTGGCATAGCAACAAAACTCTTTACCCTTAAAATACATAAAAGGAACCGAAAATGAATTAAATCATTAACACTTTAAACATTTGTTTTCTTAACTATAAATACACCTTAAAGGGTCTCCACACAACGGGTCTGGAAATTATTTTTCGATTTGAGACAGGTCTAGACCAGTAACTTGTGTGTAAAAAATTTCAGATCATACACTCACTTCGTTTTTCCAGAATAAATATTCTTATTGTGAAAAATAACTCAAAACATGAAAAGTGATGCAAAACTTCTTTAAAAAATCAATATAGTATGATAATTATAAACTTACTGGAAGAGGTGCCATCAGAATCTTCACAGTCTGTGTGCTGACTATTGTTATTAATACACTCGTCTGAACATGCTGAAATAAATAATAGAACACCATATTTAAAGTGAATTGGTTTATCATGGAAGGTCTATAGTACTATAAATAACAAGCAATTATCCTAGTAATTTGCAAGCAATCCATAAGTCCCCTACCGGTTAGAACCCCATCAACATTCTGAAGGGCCATTGGCCATTCACTTATGTTTCAATTTTTCTCTTTTTTAAGTAAATTTGTTGGAAAAGTTCTTTAAAAGTGATCACAGGAAACAGTTTTTATGAACAGACAGACAGACAGACTGAAGGACACTCTAAAGTTGATATTTGAAACATCCCTGTTACCAAAATATAACATTTTAAAAGCAAAATTCTTAAAGAGGAGATAACTCTTGAATTAAAGATGCAATTTCATAAAAATTTTCAGCTCTTTTTTGACTAATCACAAATATTGTTATATTTGCCATGTTTTAAGCCTACTTGTTGCCAAGGCAACCATTATTTTTTCAAAATAGGAAGAACAGATAAGACATGCATAATCTCAAGACTGTCATCTACCCATATGTCAAATTTCATAAAAATATTTCTCGTACTTTTTGAGTTATCACTGGATTCAGTTTATGTGTAAAATTTGCCATATTTTCAGTCTATGTGTTGCCATAGCAACCAGAATTTTCAACATAGGAAGAAAAGAAAAAGACGTGCATAATCTCCAGACTGCCATCTACCCATATGTCAAGTTTCATAAAAATATTTCTCGTACTTTTTGAGTTATCACTGGATTCAGTTTATGTGTAAAATTTGCCATATTTTCAGTCTATGTGTTGCCATAGCAACCAGAATTTTTAACATAGGAAGAAAAGAAAAAGACATGCATAATCTCAAGACTGTCATCTACCCATATGTCAAGTTTCATAAAAATATTTCTCGTACTTTTTGAGTTATCACTGGATTCAGTTTATGTGTAAAATTTGCCATATTTTCAGTCTATGTGTTGCCATAGCAAACAGAATTTTCAACATAGGAAGAAAAGAAAAAGACGTGCATAATCTCCAGACTGCCATCTAACCATATTACAAGTTTCATAAAAATATTTCTATTACTTTTTGCGTTAACACTGGATCCAGTTTATGTGTAAAATTTGCCATATTTTCAGTCTATGTGTTGCCATAGCAACCAGAATTTTCAACATAGGAAGAAAAGAAAAAGACGTGCATAATCTCCATACTGCCATCTATCCATATATCAAGTTTCATAAAAATATTTTCAGTACTTTTTAAGTTATCGCGGGATCCAGTTTTGTGGACGGACGGACGGAGGGTAAACATAAAGTCCCCTCTGGTAAACCTGTAGGGGACTAATGAGTTTTATAAGCCTATAATTCTAAAACTTCATTGTAGCGAAATCGCAAGTACAATTTCTTTTTGCATGAGAAACTCCGCCTTTGGGTCATCCGTACATCAATAGAAAATCAACAAACATTTTTAAGTAGCAGTCCGAATTTAACGGTATATTTCCGCATTACATAACGGATGTTTTCATACAAATTCATTGCTTTTTTATGAGATAACTGCTTTTTTTAAAATGACAGGGCTAATGTACCATGAAACTAAAACTGTAAAAGTTTTTGCTGTGGTCCACATGGTTACAATTGATTTTGTTATTGTGACGTAGCGCATACACAAGCTAATTATTAGTCTTCATTTGCATGTTAAAATTCATATAGGAACTTTAGTGTTAGCCCCGGGTTTTCCTTTTAAAATCATAGCTTATTTACAATTTTTAATGAAATTTACAACAATCCTGTTCAGCCGACAGAAAAATATGTTTTTATATTTTATTTAATGTACATGTAGCTTTAATTGTAATTGCAAACACATAAAATTAGTTTCAAGCAGAAACCATTAGTACTTTTTTTAAAAGGATATGAATGTTTCATTCTTAAAAAAACCCAGATTTTTAAATGACTATAATTATATTCATATTATCTCAACCTACAGTGTGTATAGTTCAAAACACACTTATAGTATATCTACATAAATGTAGTCAAAATATGTTTATTCTTTATTTTCAAAGAGTCTCCTGCAGTAGCATTATTATCAATATTTTGAAATATATCAAATTAGAGCATTGTTTATCTTTAGGTGGACTTGAAATTGATAAAATGAAATAAACTAACTCAACAAATCTAATCATTTACATATTATGTTTTGTACACGTGTTTAGTTTTTTAGCATAGGTTAGACCGAAATGCCTTTTGCAGTTTCTACAGTGTACTCAAACCTTTGTGTCATTAAGGTCCTTATCCAAAGATTGGGGGAAGGACAGAAAAGTTGAGATTAATATAGAAAATTACTTTAGTCTGGTGTCAGTCTAATTCTGTCACTCTGGTATCGGTCAGTTTCCATTTTGGGTTCTGACAGATCAATCATGTTAAAGGTCTGTGACCAAGGCTCCTATAATTCAAACTGTACATGTAGTTCTTTCCTCTGTATCATTTCAAAATTCATCAGGAAGGTTTTCCCTGGAAGCAAATGAAAATATAACAATAAGTATCACCATAGAAGAAATTATATTCATATTCTTTTAAAGGCACATTATGCCACAGAAACAAAAAATTTTTTATTTCTTTAGAAAGGGCAAACATTAATATTATACTGTTTAAATAATGGTTTTAGAGAATGTTAGATCTGTGCTTTTAATGTTACCCTAAGAAAGTAGTGATAAATGTGAAATAATTAATTTACTGGTTAGAACCTTAATTAGCAACATTCTAAAGGGTGATGGCCATTTAATTACGTCATTGTGGAAGACATGAATGTCCTTAAATCTTTTGAATTCTTTGTCTGTGTCAATAGTACAGTAAACTCCTCTTTGAGACATTCAAAATCTGTTTCTTATATCTGTTATTCCTTGTAAACATACCTGGGTATAGCGAATAAGTTCCTTGTATCAGGAGTTTTTATAGTGAACAGATTTACATTAACAAACTGATTGTTTACCATTGTCCTCCATTTTGAAGAGCATTTGATTAAAGGGACTCCACTGTCAGATTTCTCAACATGATTGGACTAAAGATATTTCTTTGATATTAATGTTCCATATGATGTAGTTCTAGACAAATACATTGTATCAAAACTTTCAGATCATTTGCTCACTCCATTTTCCCAGAATAATTATTTTAATTGTGAAAAATTACCCAAATTTGAAAAACACTTTTCGCTCGAATCGTGCTAGAAATTGTTATTATACAGCACAAAATACGTTGTCTAGTTACTTATGAGCATTTTTATTTACATGTATTTAACTTCATATATCTATTAGTTTAAGTGCCCAAGCTCATCTAAATAAACAATTGAAATTTTAACGTTTCAGGCATTTGGACCACAGTGGAGTTCCTTTAAGAAAAATAACCAATTTGGGTTTGTCATCGTTTGGGTATGTGATACATAGAATATTAAATTCGTTTAAGTTTAATAGCAATTTCTTTGTACAGCAAGATTCCAAGAGATCACCATTTCCACAACTGAAACTATCAAAAGAAAAAAGATCTTTGTAGCAAAATTAAAAATTGCAGAACAAGATCTAAACAAAAAAAGGAAATTGTCAAATATTGTGCTAATTCTTTCATTTCAGGAAGAGTATCTTAAATTTATTTTTGAAAGTAAATGAAAGTGTTTTAAGCTCCCATGGCTAAAAATATTTGTTATTACAAAATAGCAGATTTCCAGTGCAAATTCTTAAAATTTAACATCAGGCATTTTTAAATTTAAATTAAAAATGATTGTTAGACATATTTTCAATCATACATGTAATTGTATGGAAAGAGACTTAATTTTCCTTTGGATGTCAAATATATTCATTCATTTTACACATACATGTGAACTTTTTTTGATGATCAATTGGGAGATTTTTCTTCAAAAAAGGGGGAGATTTTAGAATTTGCAATAAACAAAGAAGGAGGTTCTGTCATCAAAAATAGGGAGATTTCTTTAATTTGTGAAAATACCCCTTATTTTAAGAAAAACCTTTGAAAATATGCCTGCAGAAAGTGGGATTCTCCTGCTAAAAGTGGGAGTAATCACATGTATGTTTACATTATCAAAGATTACACTTTCTGTTTCTGTTTACATCTGGAACCATGTGGTAGAACTACTTTCAATCCATATCACCTCCAAAGTTATCATAGATAATAGCCGAGGACATTCAATTTCAAATTGATATTCCAGTGGAACCACTGACCTAAATTTGTGTCAGTCACATACAACTAGCCAATATGCACTGTATAGGCTTGCCGTACCTATTTTTGAAAATAAATAACGAAAAATATAATGAATATGCACTAGTTTTTCTAACAGAAGATTTTATTGAATATCATAAAAACTTTATCAATTACAGTTAGGTATATTAGTTTTTAGTGTTTGATGACCAGATTTTTTTCTCTGAAAATCACGGACTTATCATTAAAGTCCTTGTGAAAATAAACTGAAGCATTATTAAATAATTTCAATGGACAATATGGATGTAATTATACATGTGTAATAAAAAGTTCATCTCAACACTTTCAGCAAGCATTGTAAATTTCAAGCTGATTGTTCAATGCTTACAATTTCAAGATGCAGCGCACCTGTTTTTCACAACTGCATTTGATGTCTATCAGGTCAATCCAGCGGGAGTTAGATTATGACAAAGTATATATTTGTACCTAATTATACCTTGTAAATAACAAAGTATTTCCATTGGCTCACAAAAACTCTTTAATCAAAGCTGAATTTATTTCAGATAAATGTATCCGGGATTCCCGGGTATCTTGTCAATAATATAAATGGCAGAAATTATCCATAAAAATTATATAGAAAAAGAATATACATTGTATGTTCATTTTTGAGACGTGCAAGTTACTAACTTCATCATTTCATTTATTATTTAAAAAAATGCCCTATGGTTGGACTCAACGGTGCGTATAGCCTAAATGTTTGTCACTCACATACAGCTAGAACTTTTAGTAAGCAGTACAGGCATGTCCTGCTTAGCTACATCCTTGTGGAAAATTCCAATAGAAAGAATTTCCTTAGTTAGACACTATACATGTATTTTTTTGCTTTAAGACACTATACATGTATTTTTATTTTATTTTTATTTTTTGCTTTAACCCTTAACCGCATGAGCATATTGTGTGAAAAATGTTTGTTTTCATTGAAAAGCCTCCTGTTACAAATTGAAACTGCTATGAAACTATGAAAAATGCTTCTGTACTGATGGTTTAACTTGGAACAAATGTTGACTCGACCATAGCCTCTGTAACAGCATGCTCAATCTTTAATATCCTTTTACTGTAGCAATGGGGGAAGGTCTCAAAATTGCCAAAAATCACTATTTTGCATTGTTTGTTTCCATCAAAACTGATTTCAAAGAGCTGGAACTTCTCAATGGATTGAGATAGAGTAAAAGGCTTTTCAACATTGATTACATGTTACCTTACGATCGACCTAAGCCATTTTTAGCCTGTCACATGTCCAAAATTTTCTTAGCAAACCCCCCAACAGAAGGGGGCACATTCCCCCTTCTGGCAACCCCTTGATGTACCTTTTCAATAGGGGCGGCGCCGAAAAAGTGATCACTTATTTATCAAAATTTCTGAAATGAAAAGATGTGTTTTGGGGCCAAACAGGACATTTTTTCACTATTTCAGGCCTAAAAGGAGGGGTCGAAAGTGTGTTGTTTCGCATATATACATGTATGTGGTAAAGGGGCAGCACAAAATACCCAAATCAACCCAAAAATTGCCAAATTTAGATATACCCAAATATTGCCTAAATATACCCAAATATTCCCCAATTATACTAAAAATAAATGTTTTATACTAAAAAAGTGCTGTTTTAATCATGAATACAATATACATTTTCATACATGTGAACTTTTTCAATGATCAAGTGGGAGATTTTTCTTCAAAAAGAGGGAGATTTTAGAATTTGCAATAAACTAAGGAGAAAGTTCTGATATCAAAAAGAGGGAGATTTCTTTAATTTGGGAAAATACACCTTATTTTAAGAAAAATGTTTGAAAATATGACTGCAGAAAGTGGGAGTCTCCCACTGAAAGGAAATAAACATTTTCCTATTATTTTGTTTTAAACCAAAATACAGTATATGTACTCCATTAAAGCTATTATTTTTTTTAAATAACATGGACACTAATCTTGTACATGATATGAAATTTCAACAAAATTACACCTTAAAAATGTAAGTGTCGACAACAAATATCATATCATGATTTAAAATTGCAAGTTTGTTTGTTTTGTTTGTTTGTTTATTTTACACCTTTTCCGAACAGTATTTCAGTCATATAGGTGGGTAGTTTCCTAACCATCATTCCTGGAGAGTTACACCAGTACTTGACTACCTTCCTCCGCGCTATACTACCAAAGCATCTCCCGGGGATCGAACCCACGGCAAAGAGGTAACTGGAAGAGTAGTCATCGACTGTAACCCATCAACCACGGGGGTGGTTAAAATTGCAAGTACATTCATAAAAAACCTTTATAGTAGATAAGCAAATGTAACAACTTTATTTTCTTACAACATCTCAACTACCCATTTCAACGGAATGAATGAAAGTTATAGCAGGCCAAGTCATATTATTTTATAAATATTTATTTATTTCTCATTATAAGCTATATTTTATACAAACAAAAATAGATATTGTCATATTTGGTTATATTTGGGTATATTTGGGTGTATTTGGGTATTTCGTGCCGCCGGCGGTAAAGGGTTAAGGGACATTAATTTAATTCTTTTTAAAAAATCAAAAATGGCATAAGAAATCATATATTGTATAAGTCAAAAGTGGGACAAAGACAGAAATGGCCAGGTTGCATTTGTATACCTAATGTCATGAGGCTGTGATGTTACGAATATGTTCTACCATTGACCTTTAATATCAAACATTTGACTTTGTCGGTAAACAGGAAGTGGATGAGCGACAGACCTGACATTGAATCCCACAGTATGGAACCACATGTTAATGTTGTAAACCAAATATCAAAAGGGTGTGATATCAGTAGTTACTTAGAAAAAAACTGTTACAAATATTTTTTTTCTGCACAGCATTCCCTATACTATCACCTGGGTTTGCACGTATGGAACCTGACCAAAAATTGCATAAATAGAGGAAGTAAGTTATTATATAAAAAGAATTGAACTTACTATCTCTAATCAATTCAGGAAAAACTTCAAGCACATCTGTTTTCATCAACGTTAAGGTAGGTAGGTGATAGCATAACGGTTGCTCTATGTGGACACATTCTTCATCTGTTAGGCTGTTGTTTTTCTAATTCTTAAATACTAAATAACATACCCAATAAAATGTTAAAAATAAACACAGTCACTAGCATGTAAATAACATTAAAATGATTTTTTTTTATAAAAATGAATTTAAATTAAAGCAACTACTGAAACTATTTTGTTAAATAAACTCTACTCACTGTGCTCATGTTAAAGATAAAGTTTATGATGTTCATACTTTTGTCAAATTTGACTGCAAAAATCCATCCACTTTGTATTGAAAATTGTACACTTATTTCTTATTAAAGATTACATTGGTCACTTATTAAAACAAAACTGCCATTTTTTTTTGCTGTTTTTAAAATAACACCACATATTCATATTGTCTATACTAAAAGTGTTAAAGTTAAATTAAAAGTAACTATTTTCTGTATGTGGTGGTGGTTTTTGAAATGGTGTTCCTTTATGACAACAAACATATACAACAAGTTTGCAGTGAATAGTTTTTACATATTTTCAGACAATGAACCTTTCCAAAAAGGTTAATTAATAAGCACACAAAAAAACATATGACTTTTTCTTCAAAATGGGGAGCTATTTAAGTGTTTTATTAAAAAGTACATAGAAGGAAAAAGGACTTACTGCTTTGTTTGCTTCTAATGGTTGTTTAACTGGTGCATGTTTCTCTACCAAGTTGATTGCCTTCAATTCTGAAACTATAAACTTTTAACAACAAAAAAGTGTTTTCAAAAAGATAATAATGAACTGATATATTAAATCTTATTTGTTCCACTGAAAGTACTCAACCAGTATCAGTCATATGCAGGTAATGTTCATCTTAGACCTCTTCCATACTACGATCCACTGTATCCATCTCTCGTAACTCAGGAACAACTGCCATGTTAGAATTTTGCTGGCTCAAAATTCAAAAACAATCACTCCCACACGATTCCTCCTTGCGGATATAATGTTGCCAGACTCCTCGGATTTCACGTTGTAGCCTTGATCAACAGACCGGCGACATATCAGGGCATGAAGACCTAAAGAAAAACACCTGCCAGCTGCAAGTGTTACCTACAAAACAGCTGTTGCAAAACATAATGGGAAAGCAAACTGGAAATACTTTAGGATGGAACTAATATTTAATCAAGTTCCAGAACCACTGACCAAAGATACCTCTTTAATGCATGTCAGACATGGGCAGGTATTGCAGTAGAACCTTATTAAGATAACCGTATTTTATATAATCTAAAGGCTATAAAATATGCTTTTGCCACTACACCATTACGCATAAATAACTTAGTTGTTCAGGTTGTTCAGATCTTTATGGATGCATGCTGCTTTCAAGTTCAAACATTGAAAACAGTTTTACTTCCTGACACACATAAGCACTTGTGCACAGTCCTTGATTGAAAATTAACAAGTACTCTCTCTGACATGGCCGAGAAAACCATTTCAGTATGAACATGAGAAAATACAGATCATAGCTTGATGAATAAACGAGCAGAGCAGAGAGGTACCAGTCTAGCTATAATAAAGTATTTTCCCATGGTACTTCAATGATAACTTGTGGCAATTCAGCAAGTACAGTCAAAATTTAACCACGAACAATGTACTAGTGTCTTGATATATGCCAAGTGCATTCTGACAAAAACAAAGTCCACAAACTCTGTTTTAGAGTTATGGACCTAGAACCACTGATCAAAGATACCTCTTAATTGCAAATCAGTCATGGGCAGGTATTGTAGTAGAACCTAACACACCCCTATTTTGTATGGTCTAAAGACTAAAATTAGCCTTTGCCACTACACCATTTCATTTTTAACCACTGGCAAATTTAAAGACATTTGAAGTAATCACACTTTACCTTGTCTTGCACATCTCATCTACATCAACATTACTTAACCTATCATGTCTTTTTCCATCATAACACATACCACCACACATAATTCACCTCATCACTTCTTATGCTGATCAAGTCACATCACCAGTTGAACTGCTGACCTTAGATACCTGCAGATATCCAATCAAACAATTTACCTCAGAAACCTGCAGATATCACAAAATTTCCAATGCCCACTTAGTGCTTATGATGACAATTGTTGTTACATACTATATTATTCTTAGAAATAATTTATTAATTTTTATTTCCCTTCATATTTTCACACAGACTTAAAATTACTAAAGTCTGTGATTTCCAATAGAAAATAAAACATCATTTCATCAAACACTTAAAATAAATTTTTTTGTCCCAGATCTACTGTAATTGATCAAGTGTTCATGATATTCAATAAAATCTTTTAGAAACAAAAGTTGAAATATTCATTTATGTTTTAAATTATTTATTTTTAAAATGCGGTACGGCTAGCCTTAAGAGTGCATAAAGGCTAGTCGTACATGACTTATGTATGGCTTGAACTTTTTGAGAAAAAAATTTGGCTTGTACAGCTAGCCACTGCCAACATTATATACAATGTTTGAAGTGAATATTTTTCTTACATTTTTCAGAAAATTGACCTTTACGTAAAGGTTAACCAGTACGAACAAGAAAATCATCATAAAAAGAAGAGAAAATCATGACTTTTTCCTCCAAAACAGCGAGCTATTAAGGGTTTTGTTAAAAAGTAATAAAAAGGACTTACTTCTTTGTTTGCATCAAATTGTTGGTTAACTGCTTGGCACTGACATAAAATGTTTCTATTCCAAGTTGATTGTCTTCAATTCTGAAACTATTAAGTTTTAAAACCAAGAAGTGTTGTCTAAAAGATAATAATAACATAATATAATATAAATCTCATTTGTTCCACCAAAGTTATCCAGTATCAGTCATATGCAGGTAATGTTCCTCTCCGGCCTCTTCCGTACTATCATCCGTAAGTGTCCATCTCTCTCAACTCAGAAACAAATGTCATGTTTCAATGCTGCTGGCTCAGAATTGAAGACAATCACTCCCACACGATTCCTCCTTGCGGATTTGAAGTTGCCAGACTCCTCGGATTTCATCATGGTAGCCTTGATCAACAGACCGGCGACATATCAGGGCATGAAGACCTAAAGAAAAACACCTGCCAGCTGCAAGTGTTACCTACAAAACAGCTGTTGCAAAACATAATGGGAAAGCAAACTGGAAATACTTTAGGATGGAACTAATATTTAATCAAGTTCCAGAACCACTGACCAAAGATACCTCTTTAATGCATGTCAGACATGGGCAGGTATTGCAGTAGAACCTTATTAAGATACCCGTATTTTATATAATCTAAAGGCTATAAAATATGCTTTTGCCACTACACCATTACACATAAATAACTTAGTTGTTCAGTTTGTTCAGATTTTTATGGATGCATGCTGCTTTCAAGTTCAAACATTGAAAACAGTTTTACTTCCTGACACACATAAGCACTTGTGCACAGTCCTTGATTGAAAATTAACAAGTACTCTCTCTGACATGGCCGAGAAAGCCATTTCAGTATGAACATGAGAAAATACAGATCATAGCTTGATGAATAAATGAGCAGAGCAGAGAGGTACCAGTCTAGCTATAATAAAGTATTTTCCCATGGTACTTCAATGATAACTTGTGGCAATTCAGCAAGTACAGTCAAAATTTAACCACGAACAATGTACTAGTGTCTTGATATATGCCAAGTGCATTCTGACAAAAACAAAGTCCACAAACTCTGTTTTAGAGTTATGGACCTAGAACCACTGATCAAAGATACCTCTTAATTGCAAATCAGTCATGGGCAGGTATTGTAGTAGAACCTAACACACCCCTATTTTGTATGGTATAAAGACTAAAATTAGCCTTTGCCACTACACCATTTCATTTTTAACCACTGGCAAATTTAAAGACATTTGAAGTAATCACACTTTACCTTGTCTTGCACATCTCATCTACATCAACATTACTTAACCTATCACGTCTTTTTCCATCATAACACATACCACCACACATAATTCACCTCATCACTTCTTATGCTGATCAAGTCACACCATCTGCCTAGTTGCAGAACTGCTGACAATTTTAGATACCTGCAGATATCACAATATTTCCAATGCCCACTTAGTGCTTACGATGACAATTGTTGTTACATATGTATTACAACTATATTATTCTTAGAAATAATTTATTAATTTTTATTTCCCTTCATATTTTCACACAGACTTAAAATTACTAAAGTCTGTGATTTCCAATAGAAAATAAAACATCATTTCATCAAACACTTAAAACAAATTCTTTTGTCCCAGATCTACTGTAATTGATCAAGTGTTCATGATATTCAATAAAATCTTTTAGAAACAAAAGTTGAAATATTCATTTTTGTTTTAAATTATTTATTTTTAAAATGCGGTACGGCTAGCCTTAAGAGTGCATATAGGCTAGTCGTACATGAGTTATGTATGGCTTGAACTTTTGAGAAAAAAATTTGGCTTGTACAGCTAGCCACTGCCAACATTATATACAATGTTTGAAGTGAATATTTTTCTTACATTTTTCAGAAAATTGACCTTTACGTAAAGGTTAACCAGTACGACATGAAAATCATCATAAAAAGAAGAGAAAATCATGACTTTTTCCTTCAAAACAGCGAGCTATTAAGGGTTTTGTTAAAAAGTATTAAAAAGGACTTACTTCTTTGTTTGCATCAAATTGTTGGTTAACTGCTTGGCACTGACATAAAATGTTTCTATTCCAAGTTGATTGTCTTCAATTCTGAAACTATTAAGTTTTAAAACCAAGAAGTGTTGTCTAAAAGATAATAATAACATAATATAATATAAATCTCATTTGTTCCACCAAAGTTATCCAGTATCAGTCATATGCAGGTAATGTTCCTCCTCGGCCTCTTCCGTACTATCATCCGTAAGTGTCCATCTCTCTCAACTCAGAAACAAATGTCATGTTTCAATGCTGCTGGCTCAGAATTGAAGACAATCACTCCCACACGATTCCTCCTTGCGGATATGAAGTTGCCAGACTCCTCGGATTTCATCGTGGTAGCCTTGATCAACAGACCGGCGACATATCAGGGCATGAAGACCTAAAGAAA